ATGACAAAAATAAAGAAATAAGTTCATGACGATTACAAGCTGTAAAAATAAGAAAGAAAAGAGAACCACGGTATGAAGGTAACTTCTTAATGATCTCATTAACTTTTATTTAATTTATTTATTCCATTACATTTTTTACCAGTAATTTATTCCATTACTTATTTCAGTAGTACTTCCTTATCATAATAATATATTCTTTAAGCTTCCTATTCTTCTTATGAGTACCTCTTTTATATAACATAATATGTGTTTTGTTTGAAGCATTAAGTTTTTCAGCCCAATATTCCTATCTAATTATAAAACTTCCTAAGTAACGAAGCTCCTTTAACTAATGACTTTTATTGAGTGTAATTTTAATATTTTACAATAAATAATTAATTTTAACTAACTTCATTAACTTATGTAAAGTTGTTATGGTGATTATAATACGGATTAGAGATAGTAACATTTTAAAATAACACTAAGGATACAATATGAAGACAGTATCAGTGACAACACATCATTAAAGAAAAAGGATCAATAACTACCTTCATCCTCCGAGGAGTTCACTGAATCTGAATCTGAATCTCCATTCCTGCACCCAGGAGAACACCCTTGTTTTACACACACACACACCACACACAACTAATAATAGTTCCACCCAGGTAAACTGTTTTAAGTACAAAGAAAAATAATAATTAAAAACAAAAACATTCATTTTAAATGTAATCACAAGATAATTTGTGCACTAGGTTGCACAGCATTTTGAATGACGACGTATCTGAGAATAATTAGTATATACTCATTTTTCAAGAAGTACTTGAATAAATTGCAGTTACTTGTTGGCTTGGAGGGAGTATATATAATAACAATTAAATGAAACGATTGAAGTCAATGAAGAATAAGTAGCAAGAAAATTTTCAGGGAAAAGAAGCCATGCTTGAAGGGGTGCAGAGTGAAGAAAAATACCAAGATACGAAAAAGTGCCTTAGAAACTAATTTCACTCCGCCACAAAAGAAGAGTAATAGTATTATTATAATTTTTGGTGGATTCAGCGAATCATATAATTAAATAGCGAGGAACATTTTACATGGAAGCACTCCCTTGTCTGCTTGCATGTAATAGCAAAATGGAATACTGAATATTAAACCAGTAATTGGAGTAAGAGATCATATCAGTGCACCTTAAATACTTTTCATTTAAACTGATGTATGGAACGTGGGAGATTTTGGGCCAAATTTTCTCATCCTTGTTGCGACATGGTCCTTCAAGAAGCCCGCAATCCCTAATGTGGAGCCATGTAGAGAAGGAGGCAGCATTCCTCCTTCTAGTTTCTCAAGGCTGAAGGAATACACAATTTCTAGTAGTTGAAGAGAGTTTAGATGCTGAAGTCCTGTGCAATGCAATGTGTCAGATAGAGTAGAGACGAGAAGCTCAGTGATAGTTGGAAGGCGACGCCATAGTGTATGACATGACAATAATTTGTCACACCCTCTTATCTCAAGCCGTTTTAAACTGGATGGTAAGGACCTTGCTAAAAATGGCTCCATTTCTGGACATCCTTCTATGCTTAGCTCTTTTAAATTTGGGACAAGACGTTCCATGTCATCAAACAAGGACGGCAGAAACTTGCATTTGTAAATGGAAATCTTTCGGAGATGAAGAAGAGGTGCCTTTGAAACCAAACAAGCCTTGAGATTTCCACAGTTTCTCACGTCTAACTGTTTCACTGAAGGGGGAATATGAATCACTGGAGATGGCACAGCATCAGAACAATCCACCGTTAAATCTTCAATATGCGACTTTTCAGACAGAGGACCCAACATGTGCGCGCTTGAAATTGCCAGACGGCGTAGGGAAGGTGGTAATTCTTGCTCTTGCAACACTACATTTTCACTTTTAATTATTTCTAACTCGTGAATGTTTGGACACTTTGGGATAGAAGAAGCAAGCAGTGGACATGACATAATTCTCAGACCCTCTAAAGAAAGAAGTTGGGGGGTAAATTTCCAACTAATTTGGGGCAATCAACAAAGTTAAGAAAGCGGAGTTTAGGAAAAGCTTGCATATCAATAGAATGCCATTGTTGCCAGGAGATCATATCTTCAAAATGAAGGGTTTCAAGGGAGGGAAACGGTACTATAAGTGAAGCACAATCATTTGCAGCCTTGAAAAACTCAGAACCCACAGTCACCACACTTTGTAATCTCTCAATTCTTAAGGACCTCAGAGAAGGTAGATGGCGAAGTGCAGGAATTCTCCGACATCTGTTGCAATCTGTCAGGCACAAGTCAATCAAGTTGTCGTAGGAACGACCTCCTGACCAAATATAACCGCCATCTTCCGAAATTTGTAAATCCTGATAACACTCAAACTTGTGCTTGATACATATCTCTGTCCATGAAAATAGAAATAAACATTGAGAAACACTAAAGTAAGAACTACATAAACATCTCTAAAATGTTAAAAATATAGATTTTTTTTTTAACCTTGAAAATGTTAAAAATATAGAATGAAACTTAAGTTGCGATTGATCATGGTCACTGTTGTAGCAACATTAATAGTAACAATAAAATTATAATAATTATAAGCTGCAGAATGGTAAATAAAAATTTTATGCTCCTACGAGATTGTGTTATAAACAAGGGCGGCTTGAACAACTAATGGAGCTTGACTAATTAATATTGGTACAATAATAAACAGGACAAAAATAAACGTAATACTCCCTTTAACACTTAATATAAAAGTCAATTTGAGAGTTAGATTTGATTATAAATATAAGATCTTAATTTTTTTATTCATTATTTTTTTCAAAATAATTTACCTAACTTATAAATTGATAAATAATCTAATGTTATATAGGGATATTTTAAGGAGATTATGTCACATTTGTTATAATCAACTAACCTTGCTTCCTTAATATATTATCCAAATTAATTAACTGGCTCTTACAGTCTTATAGTGAGAATAAAAAATAGTGATAAATATTTTAGATAGGTTTTTTTTGTGGCCATTTTAGATAGGTTATTGGAATCTCCTATAAATAGGAACAAATTGATGCTTCAAAAAACTCTCTAATGTAATATGATTTCCTAGCAAAAAGATATGTGTATCTATGAGAAATAAATTATTCCATAAATATTTTTGAAAAAATATTGTGCATATGAAAAATATATGTATTTATGTATGTATGTGTTAGGATGCATATTAAAAGCAGTATATATGTTATGGTAAACAATATATTTGGTAAATATTGCAAATAATATTAAAATAGGCAATTTTGCTAATTAAAGCAGTATAGCAATATTTGCTATGCAAAGAGACTGGTGCTCAACAAGTAGAAGTTCTAATCTCATTGGTTGACCCCAAAAAAAAAAAAAAGTTCTAATGTTGGCGCTGCCGCGCCAGGTCTTCAGCGGTGGTGGGAGCTTTTCTTTTTAATAATTGCAGAGCATTTTAGTAATTTAAAATAAAAAATAATTTCCAATTAATTCCTTGGTCATGCAGAGTAATTTCAGGTTGTGTTAGGATTTCTCTGCAATTATTTCAATTATGTGGGGCTTTAGTACAATTCTTCCTAAATGAAATCAATTACTAGTTAAGTTCTTATTATGAGATTTCTTACTAATCTTTCCTTAAATATATATCCTCCAACAAGCTCGGCACACAGCTAGACCAAGGGAAAGAGAGTGTGTGGGAAAAGGTATGAGAATATAAGGAGATTGAGGAGGAAAAATTGGGAGAGAGGAACAACGGTTATGTTTTCCTTTGTCTCCCGGTTATAGTCATATTCTTTGAGTTTTTTCAAAAGTCAAAAAAATAAAAAAATAAAAAAGGAGCATAAGTCGATGACGAATTGAAGTTACAAGCAGTTAAAATAAGAATATCAATAGTATAATAAAGAGACGGGGGAAGGGAAAATACCTTTTGTTGAGTAATCCGCGGGTCGCACGAATTGAATATTTTCCAAGTTGCTTTGCAGATCATATACATGAACTCCAAAGTAAATTTTTTTTTTGCCTTCTGTTTCCTGTGTTTTGCTCTCAATGGAAACCTTCACTTGACTCCACTCATTTGTAATGGGGAGTTTAGTGTTGTGAATCATGCTTTGCATATCACATATATAAAAATGATTCGTCTTTATTGGTGACAATGAACTCCACATAGAAGAAATACCCAACCCGATGGCCCCATCAATGTCCACAGAGAATTGACAACTGTAGACATAATCCTGGTCATCTTTAACAAGAATCCAGAGAAAAGTTGTTGGGAGCATGTTACGAACCCAAAATGACACAAATTTCCGACTATACTTATGGAGCCCTTTTGGAAATTTTTCTCCAGGTAAAATAAAGTTTCTTTTCCCAGATTGAAAGCTTATTGCCTGCCAATTGCATATTGCCAAAAAGACAAAAAAAAATCACAAACACATAAGTAATAAGAAAAGAATATAATCATAGAGAGAGGGTTTGGGGGGTTGGAGATACCTGCTCCATTACTTTGTTTTTGGATAATTTAGTCAATGATGTGCAACGTATGGCACTAAATTTTTCCAAGTTTGGTGGCAACCCTCCAATATGCTCAAGTTTGTTGCAATTATCCAACAAAAGATATTTCAAATTGTGATACTCTTTGATACATTCTGGAAGAATTGTGAAATTGTTAAAACTCAGATCTAAATGTATCATATTAGTGAAGTTAGCAAGACAGACAGCAAGAGAATCATCTGATAAATTGCAATTTGAGAAAAAAAGTCGTTCCATTTTCAATGCCATTGTTGAGCAACCTACGCTTGCTTCACCTCCACCTTCACACATCTTAAAATGACTCATTCCTTCACAAAAATTTGCTGTCAGTTTCCAAAGGTTTGGTAATGTACAAATGCTAGCTGGTAGTTGCATAAGATTAGGACACTCTTCCATGTGCAAGATTTCAAGTCCAATAAGATTGCAAATTGAAGATGGCAATTCAGTAATTGCTGTCTTGTCTAAGTCAAGTGTTTGCATTTCTTCCATGATGACTAATACTTCTGGAAATCTCTGAAGACTTGAACACCAAAGAGGTTGAGATGCTTAAGAAAGGTCAACTTAAGGCAAGTTGGCAAAATCTTCAAATTTTTGCATCGCATAGCGCTCAATTCTCTCAATTGATTTAAACACCCCACTGAATCATGAATTCCAATTAAATTTGTGCAACCATCAAGCCACAATTCTCTTAAATTAGAAGCTCCAGACAAGTCAGGTATTTGCTGCAAAAATTTGCAATTTCTTAAATTCATACAACTTATATTGTGAAACACCTGCAACACAAATATCAATTTACTTTTTATATTAGGCCAAAAAAAACACAAAAGTAAAAGTATTAGGGTACCTATATACTCACCTTGTCAAATGGTTGGAGCAATTCACAATAACTAAAGGACAAGTCAAGATAGACAAGCTCAGTTGGGCACAAAGATGGTAAAAATTTGAAAGAATACCCCTTCCATTCTAACCACTTCAAACTCCTTGGCAGATATTTGGGACATTCAGAGAAGCATGCTTTTCTTATCACAAGCATTTTTAGATTTTTCATTTTCATGAATGCCTCTCCACTCCATTGTACTTCTATGCTTTCAGGTAAGTCTAGAACTATGGCTTCAATTTGGTGAGTCCCCTTCCAAAATGAAAAGCACGCACAATAAATTTCAAAATTTAGATGTTATGAATCATTATAATTCTTTTTTTGAGAAAATGAAAATGCATGTTGGTTATCTTACCGTGTCTTGTTGTAAGACATGAAGAACGTCTTTGTAGAACCATAGTCTACTACGTCCACCAGGCTCATATGATGATTCTTGTCGAACAATCTCTTTACCTATACCTTCTATCAAGTCATGCATTATTACACAATCTCGCTCAATCTTTATTAGGGATTTATCAGTCAACACTTTAATAGCATATTCTAATCGGATTCCACGAACACATAGCAACATATCATTGACAAGTGCTAATTTCTCATAATTGAAAAAACAAGCCAAGTCAAGGAAAACTTGTTTCTCCACTTCTCCTAAAGTGTCATAGCTTAATTTGAAGGCACCCAAAATACTTTCATGCGGAATGCTTTTAAACTGATCCAATGCAGACCTCCAGATATTAACTCCTTCACCGCGCAAGTTAGAACCAATCACTTCTAAAACTAATGGAAAACCGCACGAATAATTTATGGCATGATTGCAAACCTCCATATAGTTGGAATCCACGTTTTCTTTTTCAAAGGCATGCCAACTAAGCAACTTAAGAGATTCCTTATCATCTAATTCCTTGACATCATAAATGCTTGTAACACCATGACTGACTAATAATTTCTTATTTCTGGTTGTGATGATGATTCTACTTCCACAACCAAACCAGTTACAACTTCCAGCAAGTGCTTTTAATTGTTCTAATTTGTCAACATCGTCAAGAATCAAAAGAATCTTCTTCTTACTAAGCCTATGTTCTATTATTGGTATTCCTTCATGATAGTCACCCAATTTGAGATCTTTCTCCTTAACTAATGTACTTAATAATGTCTCTTGAAGATGTGACAAATCAGTTGGATTTTGAGAATGTTTTCTTACATTAGAAAGAAAACATAAGCCTTCAAAATGATCAGCAATGGAATTATATATAGCTCTTGCAATAGTGGATTTACCTATTCCCCCAGCTCCCCAAATTCCTATCATTTTTTTTTCTTCAGTAGACCAAAGATCTAAACAAGAGATAACTTCCTTGGCTCGAGGCACAATCCCAACCTGATAATCTGTAATGTGCAAACGCTGCTGGTTAATCTTAGCAGCAATTTCATCAGTGATCCTTGTAATACACTCTTGTTCATTTGCAATCCTGACCAATTTGTAAGAAGTTCGCTTTTAGTCAAACTAAACATAAAGAATTGTCAATTGTATGTATAAAGACTTGGCTGCACTTCCTATTCCTCCCAATAAGATATAGTTTCAATCCTCACATTGTAGATGATGAAATATGAGTGTTGTGACATTATTTTAAATTCAGTCCCGATTATTAAAAAGTATTAAGTTTATTGTGTAAATGGTGAGTGTTTTCATACACCAGTAAGTGTAAATTAATTGTGCTCTACCTAGTTAATGGAATTCAGCCACCCTAAATATTGGGAGGAATATGGCATGTGTAGAGTAACTGTTTCTCTTTTCTAGGAAAATAAAATTAAAAGCAAGTTCTTTGTTGAGCTTTCAAAGAAAAAATCAGCATATTTTTAAACCGACAAAAACGGAACCGAACTGGCCAGCATAGAGTATGGGTATGTTGTTGTAAGATGAAATATTGTAATTAACTGTACTCATAATAATAATGATGATGATGAAAAGAGTGAGGAGATATACTTGGGTTTGAGATGACAGCCTTTGAGTTCAGCAGCTTGAGATAAAGCAAGCCGCCATTTTTCCACCTGGAGCCTATTGTCTTTGAATCTTTTCTCCAGTCGAGCCAATGCTTTTGCATAGCTTCCTCTGGGACGTCGTAGTTCTGATGGATCCACATAATAAAATACTGGATATATCAACCGACTCTCTTCCTTGAAGCACTCCAGAATCTTTTCAAGTTCTTGCAAACAAAATGTTGAGTTTGCATAGTTTTCTGAGAAAACTATGATGGCTATTCTTGATTCTTGTATAGCTTCGAAAAGCGCGGGTGTGATATTTTCTCCGATCCTAATGAATTCATCATCGAGAAAGGCATGAATTCCACTTTGATGCAGAGCATGGTAGAGATAGCTGGTGAAGCCTAAGCGAGTATCATCACCATAAAAACTAAGGAACACATCATAAGTCCATTTGTAAGTGATAGAAAAAGATGGTGCTCGATGTTCCATGATTACGATGCGATCGACGACCCTCGGAGCTAATCTTAAGCGAAGGCTAAAGGAAGAAGAGAGAATGAAGGGTCGAAGTTGTAGCGAATATGTCACCAATTGTCTTATTAAGGGATCAAAAGACTATGCCACCAGTCCACCACGAAGCTTCGTATATAATATTTCCTTAACTTTATCAGTTTTCGTCTTTTTTTGAAAGCCTGTCTTGGAATTATACTACCCCCGGTCCTTAATATAAGATTTTGTTTGACTTTTATTTTGGTTTTAAATATACGACCCTAATCTATTTTGTCTTTCATATTTATCTTTTTTTTCTAGGATAATCCTTTAATAATGGTAGTTCTAGATAACAAATTTGATTAGTAAGGATATTTTAAGAAAAATAATAGTTATTCATTATAAATAACTAACTTAACTAAGTTCCTTAATCTCCCCAAATTAGTCAATTAGATCTTATAATTAGGATCAAAGGCAGTAATATGAAACTTCGTAATGTCAGAGTATTAGTTGAATTGTCAAAGTAGTTAGGCAGCTGTATGTAACTAAATCTGTTAAGTTAAAAGTGCTTAGCTGTCATGTTTATATTATACATTGTACCTAGGGCACCATTAATGAAATAAATCATTTAGGAGGTGTTTGGATGAAACCAAACCATGGTTTGGAGAATAGCTCCTGGAGAATAGATTCTAGGGAGAATAAATTTTGGAAAGAATAGATTTTGTGAAAAAATGATTCTGAGAAGTGAAAGTGTTTGGATAGTTCTTATTAGAAGCACTTTTTATATATACAAATTACTAAAAAAGACATAAGTTAATATGATAATTACATAAAAGATAGATTTTATGATATATTTTAATTTGAAGGAATAAAATTGTTAATAATATATTTTTTACCAACATAATTAATAATACATAAGATAATATAATTAATGAATAATTAATATGTGTATATATATTTATAAGATATAAGATTAATATATTTATAAAAAATTAATTGAGGGATGTTAAGGTCATATTATTGTTGAGATTTACTCTGACAGGCACAATCATACTCTCCAATTTGAGCCAGAAGCAGAATGAATTCACTTTTTCTGAAGCCATGGTTTTGACCCAAATCATGGTTTCAGATTATGACATCTGCTGTTTGGGTGACATTCCACCCAAACCATGGTTTTTGGGAGTCACCCAAACAGGCCCTTAGGCACACATCTCTCTTTTTCTTCTCTTTCTCTCATCGTGTCTCTCTCTCTCTGCTTAGCATTCTCTCACAAGTAAATTTTCAATTAATTTTTTTAATCCAAAATGCCCTATGTGTGGAAGCAGAGTGAACATACATTAATTTAATAACCTTTATTAAATAAAAGTAATTTTGAAAAATATTTTAAATTCAAAACATCTTGAATGATGTCAATTAATTGTAGCTAAATGTTTTAATACAAAGCAAGGGGAGTGAATAAATGAAAGTGAGGATAAAGAAGCTGAAAGATCTCCGTGAATGATGGAAGAGGGAAAAGGCGTAAGATGAAATTCAAAAAAGGTATGAAGACAGAAAATAGTGGGAATTCATGAAAATGGTAGGAAGCTGGGGCATGGAGTTGTTGGTGAATCCATCATCGTTCACGCGCGCCTTCCTATATAAATCAATTAATATATATACTGATTTAAATTTTAAAATTAAAGTTGAAGAAATATTTTTCAGGCATTTAGTATACTGACTTTACATGCATATTAATGCAATTGTTATATTATAAATAAAAGAATTAGTTGATGTGCCAAACATATTTTTGCTACATTGGTTGTTGTCGCGCCTGAATCCTGGTCATCTCATAAAAGGAAAAGAAAGAGGAGTCGCCATTAAAATTTTAAAAGGTTAATTTTGGGAACTTAAAAACATGGTCTATGAAAACTGGACAGGGTTTGGGAGTCAATTATGTGTGGGAAGGTGTTAGGCACCCCACAACACCCGTTCAAGAGAACGGTTATCCTAAGTCGACTACTCAAAATTAATATGGCTTTTTTAATTATATTTTAAGTACCCTAAAGAAAAAGATAGAAACAAAGAAAAAAATTTTATTTACAAAACAAAAAAATTATTTATAAAGTTGGACTTGACCTAGGATAAAAACCTAGGCCTACGTACCCTTTAGAAGGATAAAAACCCACGTAGTTCGGAGGTAAAAATGCGTGTTATTTGGTTGATATCTTTTAAAAAAATATTTATTGGATTATTTAAAAAGGATTTTTTGTGGGTTGTTGTTTTTTTAATTTATGAAAACAATTTTTGTATTTTTATTCACAAATATTTATTCTTTTTAGAAAAATTTGGATTACACTTCCTGCGGAGATTCCTATAATCTCACATGAAAGAATAATCATTTAAACCTGCGGAGGTTCTGAAATCCTCACATGACTCTAAAAAATTTTATTTTAAAATATTTCATTTTTGAGAAAAAGGCTTAGGGTTGCACTTCCTGCGGAGACTCCTATAATCTTACACAAAAGAGCATTCATTCAAGCCTGCGGAGGTTCTAAAAACCTCACACGGCTCTAGAAAACATTTTTTATTTATTGACTTTGATGAACATATTTTTCTTAGTTCAATTAGTAAAACAATGTTTACATCAAAGTTTAAGAAAAATAGGTGAAAGCAGGAAATGACCAACACACATTGCCCATAAACTAAAAGCCTTTACATTCACAATAAAACAAGGAAGAGATGGCAAGAAGCATATATGTGTGGAAATAATACGCATAGTGAGGCAGTAGGTATATTTGAAACTTAAAGGGGAAATCAAACAATTAAAACAAGATAAATCTTGTGTCATTAGAAGAAAATAAAAATAGGTGAAAGCATGTACCCTTAAGGCTTGTCGAACGAAAAGAATGAAGAACAAAGCTTTTTCTCTTGCCTCTCTTTTGCTCTAGAATTCTCCTTCTTTTCCTCTAACCCTCACTCTCCAATTTATAAACTCCAACTAGGGTTTTCCAAATTTCCTCTAATTTTTGTTTTTTTTATTTTCCTTAATTATGACTCATAAAGTAACTTCCTATTTAAGCACCAAATCATCATCAAATAGTGATTTTTTATTTTAATTTTCGTTTTTTATTTTTTCTACTATCATAACTCCAAAATATGCTTCTAAATTGAGGAGCCAATCATCTTAAATGAGAAATTTTTATTTTTATTTTCTGATTTTTCTTATTTTCCTCCTTAATGTGTTCACCTCACATTTCCTAAATTAGCTTTTAATTCTTACTTTTTATTTTATTACCATTTATTGTAAGAGGGATATTTTCTTCTTTTTTTTTATTTCCCACATGGTGGACTTCTCAAACTTAGCCCCCAAGAATCTAAGAAGATATCAATCTTTTATTATTCTTTTTTTTCCCTTTTCTTTAATTTCATTTACATTTAATTTTTTTGTGGGGTCCATACAAAATTGGGTGTTCACAGTTGTTTAACTACTTATTTTGAAACTTTTATATATATATATACGTTGACATCATTATTTTGATTGGTATGTTTGCTAAATGGTAATAGTTGACTAACTTAACACTAACAGGCATCATATTTTTGCACTATTTTGAAACATTCATGTACATTTTTACATATCAGGAAATTTTATAGTGTCAGATGAACATAAAAAAGATATTTCATAGATAGACTTACACCTTAATCCAAATATATACTAGTAAGACGTGTAAAATATTTAAAAACTTAGACGTGTGGGGAATCATGAATAGCTCTCTTCTTTCAATGTTTAAGATAGCTTAATAATAGGGTTTATTTAATTTGTAGAGGATATGGTGGGTATAAAAAGGGCAGCTCCCAAATTTAAAAATGTAGCAAGTCATCATTCATTTCAAAAATCATGTCTGCCACTACAGAAAATGAAGGTTTTTAAAATTGTTGAAAACAGGGAAAGGTGTGGGTAGCTTCTTCTTCTTCTTCTTCTTCTTCTTCTTTTTTTAAAAAGAAATTAATGTTGAAGAAGCATTTTTCAGGTATTATCTTTATGATTTGTGTATATCCCTATCATTGACTAGCCTAAAACTATATAACATTGTCAATTGGTCATATACATACACAAGTTTTCTGGGTCGCAGCGTTAATTGGCTTTTCAAAAATAATTTCAGATTTTGCACTCATATTATTGCAATTTAGCAATTATACTACGAAGGAATTAGTTAATGCAGTATACACGAATTGGTTGACAACAGTGCAAACTTTTTTTTGGCCAATCTGACAGCAAGAAAAATCCTATTTTCACCTTTATTTCAATTTCCATTTCTACTTTCATCAAAAACTATTTTTTCATATAATGCAGGGCATTAGAAATTCAAACGAAGTTTCATGTTTCTGAGACCAAGAAAAGAATAAAATTAAATATAAGAGTTATAAACTCTTAACAGATTACTCATATAGTATGAGTAAATTTATTCGAGAGACTAAACTACGTTAAAAACTTGGGGTATCTTAATCTGGTTTAAAAAGAGTGCTATTTTCTTGTCTTTCTATTGGGCGTATTTTCGGTATTAAGATCCCAAAATACCTTATATTAATTAGAAGACCATTATATTGCTTGAACGCTGAAAAATTCTTGAAAAACAAAAAGTAAAGGTGTTCATATTTTTTTCTATATTTCACACCGTTGGTCTCATCTACTCTTGTATCTATTACTCAACTACACTGCATTGCTTGTTGCTTACATTTTTATGCGAGATATTCAATAGTATCTGGTAATAAGGGTTCATTTGACGAAATTAACAAGGACATTTTTGTCAGGAAAAATTAACACACTAGATGATATGAAAAAAGCTCTTATAAAAAGTATTTAAATTAAACAAATCTCCTAATAAAAGATTCCTATAGAAAGAACCACCTATCTGTTTTCTTATTTTAAAATCATTTTTTTTATTTCAAAGAAAACAGAAAAAACTTGTTCGGTTGTTAATTTTTAATTAAATATTTTATAACAAGATAGAAATATGTTTTTAAAA